GAACTCTCTAAAGGACACATACGCGCTCACAAACAGTGAGTTCTCTATCGGACTCTAACAAACACACCTCTTTTCGGTTGTAGAATAACTCACAAAAACACACTTCATAGCTCTAGGATTCAGTTTCCCTACTAATGGTTGTTGTCCTTCACAAAACATACACAAACAAAAACCTTCAATGAGAGTATTCTGCTATTATCTCCTTTCAACATCTGACAAGGAGGCTTCCAATCCAATGCTCTCGAGGGCATTTTGTTGGTCAATTGAGCAGCTGTCAAAATTGCTTGCCCCTATAAGTGCTTTGGGACATTCATCGTGATCATCATGCTCCAAGCTATCTTTAAAAGGTGTCAATTCTTTCTCTCATCTACTCTGTTTTGTGCTGTTGTATATGATCATGTGGTTTGGTGTTGTATCCCTTGGGCTAACAACTATTCCTCAAACGCCTTGTTAGTATATTTTGTCCAGTATTAAACTTCAATACTTTCACTATAACACCGTATTAAGTCTAAATCACAATGTAAAAGTTTTAAAGCAGACAAACACATCACTTTTATTTTTGATCAGATATAGCCAAGTAACAATAGAAAAACAATCGATGAAAGACACAAAATATATATAACCATTCATAGAAGTTGTAGAACAAGGTCCTCATACATCTGAGTGCACCAAATCAAAAACATAAGAATTCGTTTTTCTAGAACTAACATAAAATCTCTTGATATGCTTACCAAATTCACGAGCATTGCACACAAGTTTCTGTTTATTTGCCTTTTCATATGAGGATGGATATAAAAGACTCAATAAACTAAATGAAGAGTGTCTCATGTGCCTGTATGTCGTAGTAGAACATCCTTCGCACTCCTCTCAGACCTTCCTGCTTCAGTATTCTCAACCATGGATGACAAAGCCGAGTCCATCCCCTCTCTATCCAAATACCAGAGTAGTCCATCCACTCTCTATCCAATTATTAGAGTTCACTTTGCTTATGTCAGTCTCTTTCACTTGAAAGATCACCTTTGGAATATCAAATAAAATAAGAAAATTTAATTGGAGTATAATGGTACAAATGGATAAAAAGTTCACTGGAAAGGAAGAAACATGCAAACCATTAGAAGTTATAAAATTTGTACTCCTCACTATACCCTTCCCAACCACAGGTTGTGTTGTACCATGAGTAGTCTGAATGCTCTCTGGAACTGCTAGGTGAGTGTAGGAAGAAAACTCACTAGCGACACCTGTCACATATCAAGATGCACCAGAATCTATTATCCATTATGGTGATCTTGTGGTGGATATTGAGACAAGAGCATGTGTATCACGAGCATCTATGGCTGAGTGAGCATAACTAGTTGTGTTCTCCTCGGATGATGATAAGGTGGATGCATTCTCAAGCACATTATCTGCCGCTCTCTGCTTCCTCTTCAAGATTTATGTTAAGTGTCGCCTCTTTCCAAGTTGACTTGCACCGTTTTGCTTCAGCGACTGATCCGCGCGACATCTTTTGCGATCGAAGCCCTCCTTTCTTGATTGATCTCGTTCGTCGTTTCGCATGACAGAGCTACGGTCCCATTCGCCTGTAATGTCTCCTTTGTAAGCTTCTTGATTCGATCGAAGCCCTAGCTTGCTTCACTTCTGTAGTTCCCAAAAGCTTCAACCATTTTGTCGATCCTGTCCCTATCTTCTTTTGTTGGCATGTGATCGCCAATCGAGTAGTGGTGATATTGGCTCTGATACCATTAAGAAATAAAGATGATTACTTTGGTAAAAACCTCTTTTTCTTCATTCATGAGTTGGGCTTCTATAGTGCCTTACAAATTTTTGACAAATAACCCCTAGAGTTATTTTATATTTCCTATTTACAATTAGACCCCTCAAAATAAGATACAAATCTCATTGCCTATCTCATGAGCAATTTGGCGTTTGACAACTTTGTCAATAACCTCATCATGCATTATAAATAGCAATTGTGCATTTATAACAAAAGAAAATGTGTCTATAGATTTCAAAATATAGTGTTATACATGTTAATAATGGAGTTTTTAATGCTCTATTATCTAATTTTTCGAACAACTATTAAATATTATTATGTTTCTTATTTCAATTCACTTCTTCTTTACTTCATTATTCATTTTTGTTAATGGTCTTATCTCCTCAACTACCATCTTGCTTTATGCTCATGAATGTTAGAAGATCTAGTTCTTGACCATAATTCTCAATGGAGCGATGCATTTTGATATATGAAGGACTTATAGCCACATTGAATGATATTATATTTTTATAAAAGCATTTTCTATTACCATGAGTAATTTTTTTTATTTTCAGTCACATGCACAATAAATCTATACATTGGTTTGTGGGCCCTTTTTTCAAAAGGAAAAACTAACTATCACGACTAGAACCATTATGTTGGGATCAAAATAATTTCCTCCATGTTTCTTTGAACTACTTTTAAGGCGGTGAATTTTTTTGATAATTTGCACGTTCTTTTTATCTTTATCTGACATTTTCTCATATAAACTTCTTTTTTTTTTTTTCTAGCACTATCATCTATTCTAACAAATAGCAAAATAGTCGTTACAATTTAATTGAGAAAATAAATAGTTAAAATATAAAATTTCCAAAATTTATGGCATTTAAACAAATCATAAGTATCAACTTCAGTTTGAATTTAAAGAATAAGTTATAGATACCTGACTATCATTTATCAATGTTTGCTAAATAATGCTAATTAAATGACGGTTACTAATTCTTTATAGATGCAGAGAAGGCATACGTCCGACATGAATGGAGACTAGATATATATTATGATATTAAAAATATTTTAATTTGATAGTCTAAAATAAAATTTCTCTATATATTGTCACAAAAGGGAAACATTTGAATCCGTTTGAGTTGCAATAATAGCTGAATTTATCAATTTGAGCCATTCAAACTACTTTAAACATCTATGATAGACATTTTAAAAAATAGAAGGCCTTTAAAAGTGTTGGAAATTGGTAATTGCTTTATATATCATGGGAGAGGATCCAAATCCATTAGATAGATGTTCAATTAAAATTTATTTTAAAAGTCATGTAGAAAAATGGAAAACAACTTTATATAGTAAAAAAATATGAAAATAAAGAACTTATCATAACAATTCATGATATAACAACAACAACAACAAACCTTTATCCCACTAACTGGACAGCAACATGAATCATTTTTCTCCATTGCATGCTATTGAGTGTCATATTTTCATTTAATTCTAATATATTAAAATCATTTTTTATACAATAAGCCCAAGTTTTTTTAAATCTACCTCTAACTTTCTTAACATAAGTCGAATCTATGGCATCTAGTCTTCTAACAAGATCATCACATGGTCTACATTTAATGTGATCAAACCATCTAGGACAACTCTCTCTAATCTTATCCACCACTGGAGCTACTCAAACCCTATCATGAATATATTTATTTTGCATTTTGTCTCTAAGTGTCAGACCACTTATCCACCTAAGCATTCTCATGCAGCAACACTTAACTTTGTTTTATGCTTCTCTTTCAAAGGCCAACATTCTGCGCAATAGAGCATTACAAGTCTCACCACCATCTTATAAAATTTTTCTTTTGTTCCAAGTGGCACTTTTCTATCACACAATTTGACCTGATGCATTCCTCCACTTCAACCAACCAACTTGAATTCTACTAATACATCCCCATCTATATCATCATCATTTTGAACAGTAGACCCAGGATATCTAAATGTTCATACTTTTAATGATTTGATCACCCGAAATTACAACTCTGTCATTGGAGCTACTACTACTAAAATTACACTCAAGATTTAAAACTAGAAACAATTTTAAATCTACTTAATTGAAGGCCTTTAGACTTTAATATAGATCTTCATAATTCAAGTTTTTCCTGAACTTTTTCTCTAGTCTTATCTATAAGAAGGATATCATCAGCGAAAAGCATCACCTAAGTACCTTCTTCTGTAAATGTCCAGTAAAAACATCCATAACTAAAGCAAAAAAGATATGAACTTAAAGCCGATTCCTGATGTAATGCAATTGAAATAAAAAAAAAAATACTTGGTCAATCCTCTCTTTCGAACACAAGTAACAACTCTAGTATATATATCTTTAATGACTCGAAGATAAGTCATATCAACATATTTATTCTCTAGAACTCTCCAAAGGACTTCTCTTAGAACCTTATCGTAAGCTTTTTCTAAATCAATAAAAATCATATGTGGATCCCCCTTATTCTCTTTGTACTTCTCCATTGAGCCTCTCAATAAATGTATAGCTTCCATAGTAGTCATGTCAGACAAAATGCAAACTGATTATGAGAAATCTTTATATCGCATCTTAACCTATTTTCAATTATTCTCTCCCATAATTTTAAAGTACGATACATTAACTTAATTCCTCTATAATTTACACACTCTTGTGGATCTTCTTTATTCTTACAATAGACCAAGTACTCTTCCTCCACTCCTCAAGCATCTTTTTAGTTTCAAAATGGAGACCAAAAACTCTTCCTCCACTCCTCAGACATCTTTTTAGTTTTTAAAATGATATTAAATAGTTTGGTAAATTACAAAATTCTCAAATCTCCTAAATATTTACACACTTCAATTGGGATATCATTAAATCCTACTGATTTTCGACCATTGAACCTGATGATATCCCAATTAATGATAACACTAAAATATTGACTGACATCAACAAAACCACTTAATCTCTGATTCTATGCATCAAGTGTTGACACTGAAATGATACTCATTGATAAATTAGCATGCATACTTACATGACCAACTAAGATGTAGTGAAAGTAAATGATTTATTGTGCTTTTTGTACAAGATGAATTTGTAAATTAAGTGGCCATCCTCATATTTAGCTTTTTAGCCCTTTTTCCAACAACTTTTTATTGCCTTTATGAAACCTTCTTCACGAACTCTATGTAATTTTTTGTTATGCTTCTGATATTTTGTTTCTTCTCATTATTTAGCTGACAATGCCAGATATTCATCTTGAGACTCACACTATAAGATCCCATGGAACAACAGTAGCAAGATTTCACTTGCATGACTGGATCATACTATTACTACTTGGAGTTATTGATGTCGTATTGAATATTATAGAACCATTCCATCGTTTTGTGGGAAAGGATATGATGGAGGATTTGAGATATCCGATGAAGAGCAACACAGTACCATTTTGGGCTGTCCCGGTACATTTAAAACCTATCTTATACTCTAATTAACTAAAGGCTTATTTGGGATCAATTTTGTTTAATATTTTTATTTTAATTTAAAAAAATATGTTTGTTTGGCATGTTTTTCTTGCATGTTTTTCTTTTTGTGTTTCTGACAACAAGTTAACATATTTTTTAAAACATTCAGAATGACTTTTAGATGTTCAAGTGTTTTTAAAAGCGATCATATCTTAATAAAATATGTCAAACGTCTTTATTTGAAATTAAAATAAAAACAAAAAATAAAATGTAAAAAACAAAAGTAATTCCAAATGTCCCCTTAGAATCATTTCAATGAGTTGTTTTTGCACTTGGTGGATCCTCGACATATAACACCATGAGTTTTTTTTTTATATGACAGTTGATTGGAGTTGTTTTGCCGGCTTTTATTTTCCTTGCTATATACTTCAAAAGGAAGAGTGTCTATGATCTGCACAATGCAATATTGGGTAACAAAATTGCTTCTTTTCTCATTTGTCTTTCAAAAAATCTCAGCGAGTTTATCGTAGTAGTGAGTTTAACATGAAATGTTGCATCCTAGCAGGCCTACTGTTTTCTGTGCTTATAACTGGCGTCCTAACTGATGCAATCAAGGATGCCGTTGGACGACCACGGCCAGATTTTTTTTGGCGTTGTTTTCCTGATGGTCATGATGTGGGTGCCTTATTATCACAGTTTTGAGCTCTTTTATTGAATTGTTCCACTAGCAACAATTTCTTTTAGGAAGATTTACATGCATACCACTCAATTCTTATGTATTTACCTATCTAACACCTAAAATTCAATTTTTACATATATGCCATCTTACTTATTCATGAAAAAGTGTAAAAGTTAAAACATTGGTATTTTTGATGTGATATAAAGGATTTAGGTGGTATAGATGTAAAAATTAAAGTTTATGGGTTACATATGTAAATATATAAGAATTGGGTGTATTTATGTAAATGTCTCTTTCTTTTTCTCATTCGGAATGTGGCAGCTAACCAAGGCGCTGAAATTTTTTTTATGCAGCGATATGATGACTTCACCACTAGTGTTATATGTCATGGGGACAATAGTGTTATAAAGGAGGGGCACAAGAGTTTTCCTAGTGGGCATTCTTCATGTGAGTACAAAATATTTGTGCCCACTTAGTGGTTGAATTTGTTTATTTAATATTTAAAACATTCATTATAATAATAATGTAATGGTAAACAATATTGCCGCACTGGAGAAATTGTCATTCAGTGCAACAAACTAAAAATGGGTAAATAACTGATGCATGATTTGTAAAGTTTTCATATGGCTTGATATTTTTTGCTTCAATGCTTCCAAAATTGCCTAATTGTATTTCAACTTGTGAGTTTTTTTCTCTTTTTGATGTGAATTATGCGATGGAAGTGTTTAGATAATGCATCAACTGTGAGAAATCTTATAAAATGGCTTCCTCAAAGCTTTTGTGAATTATTATTCGATTTGTGGCATGGTTCTTTGACTATTTTTTTAGATATTTAGAAGCGAATTTACGAAGGTATTTCTGCAATAATAACTTGTTATGATATTCTCAAAAATGCAGGGTCTTTTGCTGGCTTGGGCTTTCTTGCATGGTACCTTGCTGGTAAAATTCAAGTTTTCAATCGGAGGGGCCATGTTGCCAAAATTTGCATTGTGTTGGTTCCTCTTCTCTGTGCATCGCTTATTGCAATTTCTCGAGTAGATGACTATTGGCATCATTGGCAAGACGTTTTTGCAGGGGGAATTTTAGGTTTTTACTATGTTTTTTTATGCCTTTATTTTTTATTCAATTGATTTTTCTGTTGATTTCCTTACTCGTTGCAGTTCATCGCCATGATTTTTTTTCTGATTGTTTCTCAGGATTGGTGGTTGCTTCAGTTTGCTATTTACAATTCTTCCCTCCACCTTATCATGCAAATGGTATGTTTTAATGTTGGGAAATTTACACACATACCATACAATTCTTATGTATTTATGTATCTAGCACCTAAACTTCAATTTTTATTGCCATAAGTTAGACGTATTGTTGATGGCTTAAACTTCATTCTTCACCTTTGGAAGAATAGCAAAGTTAGTCGGAGTAACTTAGGTCCTGTTTGTTTTGGCTTTTTGAACCAAAGATTGAACCAAAACGCGGTTTTAAAGCGTTTGGCTCGTCCGCTTCCATCTCTCCTGACGGAATGCCGTTTCGCGATTGAATAGTAGCCCGAATCCAGCTGCTAGCCTGCATCCCGCGGTTACAAAATAAACTTGTTTGTTTCATCTGCTTCAATGCTTTTATTGTCTTTATGTAACGCGGAATCTGCATTATTAGATTCTTAATGATATTCTCATGAGCCTTGATTATCGTCGTATGATAAATTTTTGTGGAGAATATTATTCTGTGATTTTACCGTGATGCCCTCTCAAAACCATAATACATTTTTGTCCATTTACTGAATTATCATGTTGAAATGTGTCGAAAGATTTTTCAAACAAAGGGGTACTACAGTCATTAGTCAACTGACAACGCTTTTGAACATTTTTTTTCAAACATACTAACTGCTTCTGAAACACTAGTTTATGAACAACAGATTTTCAACAACTTTTGAGCTTTAGCTTTTCTACAGTTACAACCGAAATAAACGCACTCTTAGTTATAATTGTTATTTAGTTTTGAGTAAAGAATCTAAATTATGATTTGAACCTTAGTTTAGAAAATTGGGAGCTAATTCTAGTGGATATTGGTATAAATATATGCTTCATTTTATTCAGGAATGTTGGTGCCATATACACAATTGGCTTTGTGTATTATAACATTTTTGTTTTCTCACATTCACTCACTGAGCTACTACTCCGCAAGTCAGTCCATATTCTCATAACGTTAGAGAAGATGCAGCACAACTTTGGGATTCTCAAAGCATTTTTGTTACATAAACCAAAATTACTTCTCAAAAAAGTATGTAGGCGATGAGCTTTGATAAATGAAGATAGGAAAATTTACATACATACCACTCAATTCTTATGTATTCTATATCTAACACCAAGATTTCAATTTTTACACATATGTCATCTTATGCATGAAACGGTGTATTTCACTTTCTAAAAGTCAAAATAGTGGTATTTTTTATTTGATTTGAAAGATTTGGATGGTATAAATGTAAAAAGTAAAGTTTAGGTATTAGATATGTAATTTTACATAAGAATATGTATGTGAATACCTTATGAAGATATTCAAAACTATTCATTTGATCGACAACATTCCTTCAGACTGTGAGATATACTTAGAGCATGATTATTATTCCATAATTACCACAACTATAATGTGAAATTGTCATTATACTTTAGTACCTTGAAGTATTTTTTTTATAATAGCATGGTATAACTTGCAATTATAGACAATTACGATCAAATTTTGGAATTTTTATGGGTGATCAACTTCCTCCTGGCAGGTTGGGCGCCTCATGCATATTTCCGGGTGCTCGCCGAGATGACGAACGGCAGTGCACCTTCTGCTGCTACTAATGGCCTTGGCATAAGGCCTGTGGAGATTGAGACCCTCAATATTGCTTCAGAAAGGCAGAATAATATCGCTTCGCGGGACTCGAGCCCAATGTTTCATGATGTGGAATCAGCTGTTGGTAACCACAGGCAATGAATTTCTGGGCTGAATTTGTAATATAGAATATTTGCATATGTTTTGAGTAAGTCTTGTTGATTTAGATTGATCCTTTTATTATCATTCTTTTGTAATTGGTACATTTTTTGTTTGTTTAGTTAACATATTGATTGATCAAGCAAAACAATGCTGTTCACTTCTATTGGATTGCAAGCCAAACTTGGGTTGTATTGGTTTGTTTAATTGTTTCTTCAAATTGGGACACAAGTTGATATGAAGTTATATTATAATTATTCTTTTTTGAAAAGCAAAAAACATGCTTGCTAGCTCCTACATAATGATTATGTATTGATTTGCAAACCCTCTTCCACTTCTTTCCCTCTTCTTTTGATAAATTTATGATTTTGGGGTCCCAATTTATAAGTTTAATTATTATAAATATCAATGCTTGGGTATTAGATATGTCAACACATAAGAATTGTGTGGGCATGTATGTAAATTTCCCTATTAATTAAATTATTATTAAAAAATGAATTTTGAAAATATAATTTTTTTGTAACATTTTATAATATTTTTGAAACTCACTAAAAAATATCACAAGACATCTTAATTTTGGGTAATAAAATATTTTCATTGCCCATAAAAATGAATTAATTAAAATTTTATATTTCAAAAATAGCTATTATAATATCTTATAAGAGTTTCCAACATCACTTCATGCCCTTATTGAAGTTTTGACTCGTGGAATTTTAATCTTAATCGAACATTTTGAGCCATTCCAATGCCCGAAAAAAATGAAAAAAGAATTATATTGGAGGAAAGAAAAATATAATCATTATTTATCATGATTTTATGTATGATTGTGTTCTATGTATTGAGTTTTATCTGAACATTATACAAAGTAAAAGAGAAGAAGAAATAGATGTGAGTAGAAAATAAGAAAAAAATGCTCCACAGCTTAAAAAGCTACACTATAAGAAAACCCTTAGCTTTTCTTAATCCTCTATTTATAAATGATATGGATAAATCTAAATAATAAGATAAAAATACTAGTAAAATGTTTGAAATATAATAGATGAGTAGTTTATGCATAAACTTGGACACAAACTAATAGTTGATTGCCATACTTGACAAGGTCGCTAGCTCTAGTGATGGTAGTCGCATAATAACTCTCTTAGGTTGACTGATTCTTGATTGGCTATATGGGAGTTCTTTCTACGATTGGTAGATATGATTTTTTTTTTAATTGTTTGATGAATCAACTTTAATCTTGGAAGACTAGTGTCTTGAACTCGCCTGAGTGAGTCAACCTACAACGCAACTGCCAAGTTTGTTGACGAGTTTCTTCATATATTTTGTTGATGAATCCGTCGTGAAATTGGCCAAGTGAGTGTGTCCTAAACTCGACTTAACGAGTTCTTCTCTAATTTCCTATTTTCTAATAATTTCAAGGGTCATTTACATCCATACCACATAATTATCTCGCATTACCTATCTATCACCAAATCATTCACATTTACGAAAAATTATTGCATACATACACCGTATGTAGAGATGCATGCGGCGTCCGATTCTGACCGTAGATCACGGTGATCTACGATCATGATGTATTTCGCTGGGCCCCACTTTAAATATTTTTTTTTCCAAAGAAATTTTGATTGCATCCTGACCGTATATCACCGTGATCTACGGTCAGAATTGGACACCGCATGCATCTCTGCATGTGGTGTATATATGCAATCTCTGCATGTGACGTATGTATGCAATAATTTTCCCACATTTACACACAAACCACGCATGTGGTGTATATATGCAATAATTTTCCCACATTTACACACAAACCACTCAAATCCTTAACATCACATCAAAAACATCACAACCACCACCATTTTAAAACTCAAAATAAATCTTTTCAAGCACAAGTCTTTTATAAATATTATAAATATCAAATTTTTTTGTTTTAGATATGTAAATAGAAGAGAATCTTGAGACATGCATGTAGATTTCCCCATGTTTCCAAAATCAATAATTTCAGCATATTGAAATGAATTGCCGACGTGGGAATGAGAAGCTGTAAGCCAAGTCAAGAACAACTCCGACTGGAAGTCTAAAAGAGTAGCTAGATAATAACCTGGGTAAAGTAAAGCAGACAACAAGGCCAAATAAGCCTCCAATTTTTCTTCATGATTGCTTGTCCTTAGCCGCCTGATAAGATTGAACGCCAAGTCAAAACGCTACACCCAACTTGGCATTAAAGTAGGTGGGAGCGAGTCTTCAAGGCTGCCCAACCCCTACAGAAAAGAAGGGATAGGATAAAGCCAAATTTTTGCCCATCACAAAAGAGAAAATCTTGACGTTTGTTTATTTATTTATTTCCTATATCTCCACTGGTGATTTTATGGCATGAATTATCTGATTTGGGATTAGTTGTATTGCGCTGTATGTTTATGTAAGTTGTGGAGGATTAACTGTGGTTGATTCCTTCTATGGGCACTTGCTTACATAGCACAGAATTCTTATTGTATATTAAAAATGGTATGTGTGGATCTCGAGTCAAATCTGATGATCCAGGGTAAAGAGACTGAGATGCAAAAATGTAATTTTTTTTTTATATTTTCTACCCCTTCTATCTTCTGTAAATAGTAGGCATTATAATGTATGAGCGGGATCTTTTTGACTCCCCCACACTTGTAAAATCAAGCTTGAGGAAATAACAAGCCCCAGGAAGTCTTCCTCTCCTCTTCCTTCTCTCTCCCTCTCTCAATGTCTTTCCCTTAGTCTAACACTATTCTTTGGGAGCGATCTATCAGACAGATTTGGATTCAACAATTATATATTTACATAACTCATATCTAAATGTTTATATTTATACACATAGCACTCAAATCTTTAGTGTCACATCAACATGAGCATGCTATTATTTTTTAAAAGTGAAATATTATTTTATGCATTTTGTTAAAGCAATAAAGTGCAAGGCTTTGTTGTTGTTGTTTATATATATATATATATATATATATATATGTAAATATGAAAGTTTAGATTTAAGATATATAAATACATAAGAATTTTGTGCAATTAAATATGTTAGAGTTGAAAGATTAAATTTTTCTGGAAAACATGTGATGAAAACCTCATATTAAATGTAAGTAGGGGTTGGCATGGTGATGTTTGCATCACATGTCATTATAGAATTTCAAGGCAATGAAACCTGGAATTGCCAACTTGATGCAAAGCATTAATAAATAATAAGCCCAAGTCCTTTTTAGCAGAGCTTAATTTTAGGGTCTATGCAGTGAGTTTAGAAATATGGGTGGATGCTTGTTTGCCACAACCCGTAATTAAGATAGTTTGGTTTTGCTTTGTAAGTAACCAAATATAAAATTTCAATTTTTTTTTTTTTTTTTACAAATATTTGAACGCCACAAAGTAGTTCAAATATTAAATTTTATTTTAGATAATATTTTTATGGAATATGTCTGATTTTAAATACTTACTAGAAAATAATTTCTTGTGAAGAATGAATGTTTTTATTGTACTAATATGTTGAATCCTTTTGAGAAATAGTGTTTCATATTTGTTTTGAATAAATACACTTAGATAAAGAGTTTGTATCGCAGAAAAAAAGTAGGAGGGAGAGAGAAAAAATATTACATCAGGACTCCTGACGTAGAGCTACGTTCGGATTGGAATATTTGGCTGTGTTACGGGTGGCTGTGTTACGGGAATATTGTAAAAATGATGTGTTTTTCAAGTATCTATCTGCATTAATTGTAAAAATGATGTGTTTTTCAAGTATTATATGATGTTATTCGATTATTTTGCGGTGTTATTGAAATATTCCATCGCGTTACTTGATTTGAGGCTATGTTATTCGGCATATTCCCCGTGTTATTTCAATTTCCACTATGTTATTGGAATAACACAACCCCAAATCAAGTAATGCGATGTAATATTCCAATAACACTTCTGTCTCAAATTAAGTAACATGATGGAATATTCCAATAACACCGCAAAATAATTGAATAAAGGATGAAATATTCCAATAACACCGCAAAATAATCGAATAACACCTTATAATACTCGAATAACACATCATGAAAAACAAATAAATTAAGTTCAGATATGATAGTTATTGCTTGGAATTACAACTGAATATTCCAATCCGAACGTAGCTTTACGCTAGGAGTCCTGATGTAATATTTTTCTGAGGAAGAGAAAGACTGATAGAGCTCTAGAGTTCATTTTCTTTTTATACAAAAGTGAGAAGAACAATAAAATAATCAACATAGAACATCTACTACTGTACGACATCCTTCTCTAATGTCTTGATGAAAAGACCACGATGTGGGTTTTAGGTGAAGCTGGTACGATGCCCATCTCTGATGCCTAAATGAAAATATCGAGTCTCAAGTGTCTGGTGATGTCTTTAATACTGGATTAACAAATATTTTACTAGTCATGATGCCCTCCTCCGATAGCCGCCCTAGCACACAGGTGGGCTATCTTGTTTTTTCTAGGGAAATAAATATAATCAAATCGGTAAGCGGGCTCGATTCAACTACTTCGACAGGTGAACTCGATTTTGTCACTTTGACAGATGGGCTCGATTCAGCCTCTTTAACATGAGGGCTTGATTCAATAAGCTAAAAATTTCACATATCCGTTGATACATCATCAACAAATTCATCATCCAGCACGAATCTCGAGACAAACTTTATAAGCAAAAAAATATTCAAATTTTAATCAAAAGTCATCGAGAGCTCAGATTTCAGCAAACTTATAGTAAAAAAGATACAGACGAGACGGACCCAATGGTACCAAAATCAGTCCAATTTGAGCCAAATCAAGTTCAGATCAAGCAATTAAACCACTTCTTGAAGCTTTCTGAGCATAGTTGAAGGTCAAATGAATGTTAAATCTGACGAGCTTGTAATCGAATCAAGTGTCTCAACAAGGTAAATCCAAAGAGCCCATGATCGCTCAATTTCGACAACATGAAGGCACTCAAATGTCTATCAGACTTTATCTAATCAAAGGAAGCTCTTAGTACCGTTTGATCAAAGTGATTTATATTCATGCATTAATTACACCTGGAACTCTATAAATAGACCCAAACCCTCTCATGAGGACGAATGAGAGCTTGAGGTTTGAGAAAGAGCTTGAAGCTTCGAGAAGAAGTTGAAGTCCAGCACCTCCACCGTCGACTATCATCGATCGTCGTTGACCACCGTCAACCGTCCTCGACCACCACTAAC